TATTCAATACACAGCCAGATATCCATTCCAATTTAAGGGAATGTACTCGAGAGTCAAGGGATCAGCAAAAGAATGAAGTACAGTATGCTTGGGATGAGCTCATTCTGAAGGGCTTGTGACAGAATATCACTGAAATTTGGTCAATACTAAACTGTTACCGTTCCTTGGCAGTCGTTGGAACATCTCTACATGAATGAACCCGTGGGTTGGGAATTATCAACAGCCACGGTCCAATGCGGTTCAAGCTTAAGATGGGATCGCTCAATTTGAGAGTACTATTTGGAGAAGTTTCCAAATGGCACTTTCCAAAATAGAGATTCTTTAAAGCACTCTAAGAATGTATGCGGCCCCTAGAATTACGGGACTTATGTTCCATTTAGTTTTACCACCCCTCCCTAACATCACACGGCTGGGCACATCCCTCGGCCGGTTTTGTCGTTTGTTATTATGCTGCATTACGCATTCAACAGATCATGTTACAATCTGTTTGGACCTTGATTATTCAGATAGAAATTGTATAGCCAACTAAACAGCGAGCTTAGTTATTCAGGTGTGCTTTTGGAATAGAATGGAGGCGAAGGAAACGGAGGAAGGAAAGCCTCAGAAGACACCGATAAAATATTATACATTGCGGACTCCTCATCTGGCAGCTGTTACTCAATTCTATGTGCACTTTTGAAATGCTTTGAAGATTCTCACCGCGGCTAAGTCATCGTTGAGTTTTGCTAGAATATCATGTGATCGTATTGATGATACCGATGCGGCCATGGCTCGTTCGAGAGCATCTTCATCGGAACCGTTTTCCTGGAATACTGCCTTTATACCCACTCACAACCAAAAGGTACAAAAAGTGTGTTTTCCTGGACAAATCTATACTCAGCTCTTTACCAGAAATCCCAGTTTGACTGCTGTCAAAGTTTTGTGTATTCAACGTTTCCATGTGAAAGCAGACGTTTGCGGGAACGACATGTAAAGGAAGTTGCACGGCAAACGGGTAGCAAACGAAAAAGGAACTGGGACAGGGTTTCACGACACCCCTCTCCTCCGCAATTGCCCACTACGAATAGTTGGCTGTGTGTTTTCAAGTTCAACGACCTGCCGACCGACCGACTGAGGGCGTTGGAGCCACGTGTTGACAACACAAGACAGATTGCGTTCAGGGCAGTGTGAACTGTAGCGGTACCGAACGCAATCTATCCTGCGTTGCCAACACGTGGCCAGCACGACGAAGGTCGTTTGGTCGATCGGCACGTCGTTGGACCCTGAAAGCACCCACTGGACAACTGGCAAGGGAAAGACTACTTAGAAGGGTTACCACACCTAATGTACCTTAGGCATTCAAGCTCATTTAACGTTTGAAATAGTCCTGACATAAAATTACTACCAATTCTTTTTTTTTTGTACAATTTCACCTAATAGTATGAATTTAGAGCTAGTCAAGGAAAACCTCAAGTGAGGTCGGAACCGTGTATGGCATGACTTACTTGTGGAGTTCCTTCGATGCTCATAATCTTCTCGATGTCCTCTCTACTCAAAATACTCAAAGGATGTGAATCCGTTTCATGTTTCGATCTGCAAAGTGGAAAAGAATCAATGAACGTAAGAAACTATAGAACCCTTTACCCACTACCTACGTCGACTTCCTCCTATCAAAAGGCATCCTCTTCATTCTGAGGGTGCTATTCAAATGATTCGACCACCTAGTGGCTGTTCCAATTCAGTGGCGATGGGCCATGAGTTGGTCGAATCGCTTGAACAGCAACCTTAGAATGGAGAGATTGCTGTTCAAACGATTTGGTCACGAATCAACAGTGGTTAGTCTGAGCATTCGGACGTCGGTAGGCGAAGGGGGCACACTTGGTTCCTTCTGATTCCTGGTTTAAATATTGCATATGGCCCTTTTGTCGAATCTCAGCATGGATCGAGCAACATCGAGGGTGTGATTGACTTTAATCTGCGCATGTTCTGTGCATGAGGGCCTGGGTTGTGAATGAAGGCAGTTTCTGTTCAAAACCAAAGGCTCCCTTTGATTGATTAACTAGCATCCATTGCAAGGAAGAAGATGTTGACAAGCAGCCAGAAGAAGAGGTTTGCTCAATAGGAAGTGCGCCCACTTCATGATAGCTCACGTTCTAAACAATATTTGAGAGAACACATAGAACATCATTAGTTCAACGACCAAAAATAAGTTTACTTCTCACACAGGACATAATTGATACTGGAAGGGAAATCGGTAATTCTAAGGGACAGGCCTTCTAAACTCGAATGCCAATGGCATAGAGCAGTAGGGCTGGTCACAACCCAGTGCATATGTATCACAAACGGTCTCAGCCGTCACGATCAACCCAGAATTACTTTCATGGGTAATGCAACTGTAACTGCACAGCAATCACCGTACCGTATGGAATCCCTCAGAGACTCCTCGTCCTGTTCAATAATGTCTTCTAACGGATGTGACAGAATCTCTCGAGGCCGATCGCTATTCATCTCATCATCATCGGGTGATAGCAACGGTTCGCAGGTGTCCACCCATTGCATGATCGCTTGTCGTTTGTCATCGTCCAGGTTGCAACTGAAATTGTTTTTTATGAACTTCGCGACACTGCTTGAGAGCTTTCGGATGGTGATTGATCGCTTTGCGATAGCGTCCTATCGAGCTGCACAACTTATGAAGTTGAATTTAACCAAGACCATCTAAGCCTTACTGTTAATTGATTACTATTACTTAAGAAAAAATGTTAAATTATGACTTGAACCAAAAACAAGCACTATGTTGGTTAATTTCAGGAACTGTCAACTCTGTTGGAGAGTATATCACATATGCCTGCGATTCAAGTGCAAATGGGTTCGATGGGTGACCTTCGCCAGAACAGTTGTTGAACTTCAAACGACTTGTCCTTTTATATTTCCCCTATCTATTCTTGCCAAACTTTCCGGAAAACTACGTCCAATTGGCAGCTCAATTGGCGATTATGATGAAATGACTTGCCGGAGCATGAGTTGGAAGTACAACCCAGTTACACCAGAGTGTGTGTGACTGTTAGTCTCAAGGGATTACGTTAACCTCAATTACTCGTCGCCATGAACTCCATCATGTAAAACCTTTCTCGGCTTATGAAAGGATTCCGATATATCCCCAAGACTCAGTCCGAAAGGTTAAAAGAAGCCGTGAGGTATTCATTCCCACATAAGATCGGAAAACGCGGTCTGTTCTATCCTGCATAATGTCCTTTCCATGCTGAAAGGCTTCGCGAGGCTACTTTTCACTCGACTCCAGTCTTCCGGACGGTGAAGAATTGGAACATAGCAGCAATAGCAGCCGTCACTACCAGCAAATGAACAGCCCTCGATTACTTCATTGGTTTATACAATCAACTGAGAAGGAAGATGGAATCCGATTGATCACTCGATCCCCCTGAACTACTTCAACATTTCGGAAGGAAAACACCGTGGAACGGCTCTGATTCATTACTCCCATCGTAGGATGAAATTTATAGGATTTTACGCCAAACGCACGTTCGTTACACGCACGCAGACGGGGCTATCAATTTTGTTCGCGGAGCTATTTAATCGGATTATTGTTCATCTGTTCTCAAAGCTCTCTTAAATATCTTCACGAAGTGGTGGTCATATTCGTACTTGGGAAGGCCCAACTAGTAATGGTCTCATATGCGGCACTCTAATAAGGAATGAAATGGAGGATGCTATCTTTTGAGCGAAGAAAAGCGAAGCGAAGTAGCGAAGAAATCAAAAAAAAAAACGCTCGGAACCCGAATGAAAAGATCAGAATCTCCCCATTCCCAAACCTGCACGGAGAAATAGCCGACGGGAGGTAGCAGGGTCACTGCTAGCCCTGTCTGTCTGTGCTCCCCCACCGTAGTGTTTCATTCAAACCAACGTAAATCATATATCAAAGCAAGGTATGGACATAACTCGATTCACAATATGCTATCTGACACGAATTCCAATTTCATGTAGTGCTTCTTGGATCAATGGGCATCACGAACCTACACCAAAACCTTATTGGGCTCTTATCAAAGCCGTTTTTAGTGGTAGCAAAGTTATATTTAGCGTACTTTTGGACCAAAGTCCGAATCAGCGTAACCATTCTCATCACACTGCCACTCTAAAACGTCATGAACACGAAACCCATGGAGGAAACTTTTTTGATTACCCACAATCAAACCTTGCCCAGACTATATGCTGAATCACTTGATCCTCATGTTGGAACTGGGCCATTTATAGTGTGTGCTTCTGAATAGTACACGTGGGACATCCCTTGCAGGTGAATCGGGCATAACCGCGCTCCCGCGGCAGGAAGGTGAGAACTTTCGCGTACCCCATGTGTGGCAGCGGTTCCACCTCCCGAAAGGGCTTTTACTAGTAGATTAGGAATCGGAAGTGATAGTCATCAGTACTGGTCAAATAAATCATGAACTCACCAATAACGCTGAAGGATATTACGCACATCCCGAAGCATGACAGGTTATGAAGGGCGTTAGGTGTCAAAGACGCCGACAGGTGACGGGGTAAGGATCCATAAATTGGATCTCTGCACATAAAACATAGCGGCAACAAAAGTCAAACAGCTCGAGGATGCAAACGAACGATGTGCGACCCCGGCCTTGTGACAGTTGCCAGGGAAAGAAGTGATGAAGTAGGCAAACACTCAATCACCAGTAGCTCCCGGGGTAAGGATCCATAAATTGGATCTCTGCACATAAAACATAGCGGCAACAAAAGTCAAACAGCTCGAGGATGCAAACGAACGATGTGCGACCCCGGCCTTGTGACAGTTGCCAGGGAAAGAAGTGATGAAGTAGGCAAACACTCAATCACCAGTAGCTCCAATTCTCTTCTGAGGTTTTTGGGGACATTCACCATAATCAACAGGCTTGACTTTCGGAACTCGAAATGATAACAACTTGTTTAGAATCTTAAATTTGGGTCACTATATTGTTTGCCCTTCATCAAGCTGATGCCTGACATTCGGTTTTAAGGGAAATTTTAATAATTTCGAGAGCTAGAAGACATAGGAAGGCTTTTTGATGGAGTCGCAGTAACGCCTGGCTCTGCCATCCCTCAGAAATGTGCTATGGTTGTACTTTCTTTCCTTCACAGTGAACTCACAGTGAATGATGAGCGAACAGGCAGGTCATTGGCATGTGCCTCAATCGTCCCCTCACGCATCATTTTCTCAAATTCGAAGGAAAGAGGGACTTCACTTTTTCAGCGTGTGACAGAAGCTCGCTGAGACAGAACCTTCATAGAAAAGCTCAGAAGCAGCCATCCTCGATCGGCTCCAGACAAGGACTGTGTGGAAGAACGCCCATGAAACTATTGAAGGCACAGTTCACGGTAATTTTGAATCATCTATTTAAATGAAATTACGGCAGCCATGGCGCAGGAAAGTGGAAGGGTGGCGAAGAAACCGCGAAAATTGTTGTACTGTAAAACAAATAAGACCTTTAGAAATTAGCAAGAAAGTAGTTGTATGGAATGACCGTCTGGTGTCTCTCATTCGAGCGTACTATTCGTCTCGTCCTGTGAATAGTGCAGAAATAACAAGGCCGGCACAACACGGCCACTCTGAGCCTCCGTCGACCAAACGGATTTGGAACACTTGTTACGCCCTGTCTAGGCCATTTTTCGGCCCACCATCGTCCCATGTGCTATTCTGGGGGGTCACAGATTCATTCTAGCGGGAAATCTCAGGAACCATATTTATCGTCAACAGTGCCTATGAGGGAATTTAAGCAATTTTCGAAAAATGGATGATGTGGTGAGGCTATTTGATGGGCCCTAGTAACACTTGGCTCTGGCTTTTCTCGTAAATGTGCAATGGTTGCACTTTCTACCCTTCACAGTGAACTCATAATGAATGATGATTGAATAGGCTGGTCCCTGACATGTGGTTCAGCTGTTCCCACTTTCTCGTATGTGAAGGGAAAAGAGACTTCAGTAAATATGACCTTTCAAACCGTGTGACAGCTGTGACGGAACCTTCTTACAATTAGTAAAAGGCTCAGCAATAGTCATCCCGCGATCGGCTCCAGTCAGGGGCTGTAGGGAAGAACACCGTAGGTTTCTTACTGTTCATCTCTTCTACCATTGCTACCGAGATTCAAGCTTGATGTTCCATGAGGGTACGAAAATGTTCAACAACAGGGAATTTCACCGATCACTCTTTAATATCAAAAAGCAAAAAAAAGAACAAGCTCATCCGTGCAGAAAAAAAACTACCTCTTCGACTTCTTTGGACTCGCAATAGTCACACCAAAATCGTTGCGGTTCTAAAAAGGATCAATCTCAACAAGCCTTTAATGTATCACCCAGAATAAAGTCAAGGCTGTTTACCTGGGAACAGTAACCTCCGAATACTGTAAGATCATGCGTCATTGTTGATCCATCACCAGATGTCCCAGGAGGCGAACAAAGGTCGTCATATAAGCGCAATGACGGTGATAAAAACGGCGTATGGCCCTTCAACAAACCATTGTTTGGAAAAAATTTGGTTCAAAAATTGGCAATTTCATAAAAGATTTTTAAGAGTGACTTTTTTTATTTGTTAAATAAGGTTTCCGCCCTGCTGCTGTAAAGGGATTTATTGTCAATCGAAACGTGAAGCCACTTTTCCAAAATGAGGAAGTTCAGAAGTCCTCACGATGTGGTGCTGGTAATTGCAAGTAGGTATATGTAGGTGCCATGCGCCATGCAGGATAGTACCCAACACGTCATCATATCTATGGTCTATAAACCCAATCATCGAGCAATGTACCCGCCCCAACCTTACCCATCATTGGTTGGTAGGCGACTCGCTTGACAGAGTAAAAACCTACCTGGTTTAACCAAAACCCGCAAACCAATTTAATGGGACAAGCACCACCACTATTCTGAGGCCGAACGGATCAGCGTTTCAGGAAAGAAAGTAAGAAACTTTACTGTAAGAAACTTACACTTTATCTTTTGTAAGAGCCTCATTCTACAATTTAGTTAAGCTTTTCTCTAAGATTTTTTTGTCATAAGTGGTAGATCAGAAGGTAGTTGAAGCAAGTTAAAACGATCACAAATGTAAATAATCTAAAAAATTCAAACTGAATGCAGTAAATTGTACCTTGAGCATAGGCGGGATTGAGCCAGTGCACGTACGCGTGGAACTTCCTGATGTCTGGGTAAGCTGTAATCGGTTGAATAAGAAAACTTCGAATTTTGTTTTTACGGTTTTTCGACTTGAAAGGTGTGTGCTGGAATAAACTTTGTGCTAAGCACTAAAGTATCCTTTTAAACTAATCTAATTAATCGATCTGTGGATTTTTCGCTGTTCCCCACAATCAGCAATAATCAATTCTGGCTTTGCTCTTGGCACGCATGAAAAGGAAAAGAAAAGAATTGCAGGTATCAGCGATCTCGAGGGCGGCGGTGAACCCAGTTGTCCGAAAACAGGTGTTGATGAAGATAAATTGATTTCACACAACTCATGACTTTGGTGTCCTGCACATTTGCTCGAACAAATGTTGCATTCAAGGGGCTAGAAAGTAATCTGGGAGACGATTCCAGGCCTCCTCCAATTATTA